CAGATTTCCAGCTAGCAAAATAGAGGTGGTTTGCTGGCTGGGATAGCTGCTACAGGGACAGACCTTGTAGCTGGCGCCTCATACAGATTTAGTTACTAGTCCCTCCCAACATGACAATTGCAGAATCAGAGCCTAAATGCCACATTGGATGAATCCTTGATATTAGTCACAAATACTGCGACATGTAGACCCAGCAAGATTGCTTAAGGACACAGCTGCCATCATTAAAGCTGCACCAGTGTATTTCCTGGTTTTGCAGGTTTATGCAACATCTTACTCAAACCTAAGGTAGACTTTGTGTGTGTGTGTGTGTGTGTGCTCATTGAACATATGGTTCATGCTGTAATGTCTGCTAAGTAATCCAGACCCTGGCAGAGCTTGACTTAATTGCATTGATGTTTAAATCCTATTTTTGATAGAGCAGAATCTCTTTTTGTTCTTTTTTCCTGTGGGATGTATATATTTCTCAAAAAGAAGTAATCCTGCTGTTTACTAATAAATTGGCAACTGATTATAGGATCTTTTGGCTTACTGACACAGTGCAAATGCTTTCTGAGTTGCTCCACTACGTAGATTTTCCTACTGTAATTTATGGACTGGAATTGGTTACCAAGGCAACACTATTCACTGACCTATGGTACTCCTTTGGAAACATTTTTTTAAATTAATTTTTACTGACACTGCAACATAGTTAAGCTTTTAGTCTGTAGAGGTTAAAGCACATGTCTAATATTAACAGAAAAGATGTGATTTATGCAAGCAGAAACGGAGTGAATTGCACTGACGAGGGGTTTTTTTGGTTTTGTTTTTTAATGATTGAAATTCTTGCTTTTTTCATATGCTTCCTCTTCCTTCTCCTCCACCCTCAAAGCACAGATATAAAATACTGGCTCTTGCTTCTTAACACATGGAAGGCATCTCCATTTGATGGGAAAACTGGATTTCTATGCATTTGTGCTGTCTTTAGCACCTTAAAGCACTTTACAAATTATAAAACAAAAATAATATGAAATTGTACAGAAGACCTCACCGGGAAAATAGTATGAGACCTACTACACGTAAACTTTATATATATATATAATACACACTGTGGTCTATATCTTGTACTATAAAATATATCTAAAATAATACTTTAGATGTAAACTGCTATGTAAGTGTAGAGAAATCCAGAGTTTTGCAAAAGTGGGTGTTAATTACCCCATTTTACAGATGTTGACTTGATAAAGTGTGCGGATGACCCAAAAATTGAGGGTGTGGTATATAATGAAGAGGATGGGTCACTGATTCAGAGCAAACTAGATTACTTTCTAAACTGGGCATAAGCACCAATATGTGTTTATGGCTAAATTTAAGTGTATACATCTGGAAACAAAGAATGTAGGCCATACTTAGGGATGGGCATCTCTATCCTGGGAAGATTTGGGGTTATGGTGGATAATCTAGCTGAACATGAGCTCCTAGTGCAGTGGTTCTCAACCTATTTATCATTGTGGGCCACATATGCAGCCCACAAAGTGTTACCTGGGCCACAGGTTGAGAACCACAGTGCCACCTCCCCCCACAAACCCCTATACCCAGTGCCCTCTGCCCAGAGCCCCCTCCACAGAGTGGGGCCAGAAGCAGAGAGCTGGGCAGGGACTCTGACCCTGGACCCCATCATGTGGGATCAGGCAGCAGCCCAGACCCCGGTGGCAGCCTGCAGCCGCTGGCAGCCCAGAGCCCACAGGGGAACCCGGCACCCGGGGCCTTTAGCACACAGCTCAGCTAGGCTGCAGCTGTGTGCTAATTGGGCTGCACGTGGGCCATGGGGTTGAGAACCGCTGTGCCAGTGTGCCACTGTGGCCAAAAGGGCTAATGTGATCCTGGAATGCATAAGCAAGGGAATCTTCAGTAGTAGAGTGCTTATTTTATGCTGTACTTGGCACTGGTGCGACTGTTGCTGGAATAGCATGTCCAGTTCTGTTGTTCAGAGTTCAAGGACAGTGTTGATAAATTGGAGCGGGTTCAAAGAAGAGCCATAAGAGGATGAGCATGCTCCGGGTTGCAGCGCACCCTGGGCTGCCTGCAGCAGACAGGGCCTGCCTGCCCATCCTCTGCTGACTATGTCCAGACCCGGAGCTCACCGCCAGAGCAGCGGGCTGCCCAGTAAGTCATTATATTAAAATTTTGTACCATTATTTGCAAGCAACAGCTGGTGCAGGGTGGAAATTTGTCCTGTGGGTGACTTGCCAGCTAGGGTGTCCCTTGGCTCGGTGGATGGGATTACCCCTGCCGCTGACTGTCTGGGAGCAGCCGTGGAGGGACATGTTCCCGACTGGGCAGCTGCAACAGGCCAGGTGGGGAGGAGCCCTCTCCCCCTCCTGTGCAATCTCTGCTACAGGGCTCTAGTGCCTTCCACAGCAGTGATCCTCTCTGGCCTGGACAGCATCCTGGTGTTGAGCCCCACATGGGACTCCTACTGCACTGAGCTGGGCTTGGAGCAACCCGCCATAGTCACTACCGCCAGCTGGAGGTCAGTGCCCGCTCACCCATGCACAGAGACAGCAGCTGGGCAGCCTGCTCTGCTTCCACCTCAGATGAGCTCCAGGTGAGAGGCGCCCAGGGCACAGAGCTGCTGGGTGCCACACGCCAGGCTCGCTGCCCCCTGGACTGCAGCGCAGTGGCCTGGAGGAGGATATACTGCTGACCATGAGCTGTTTCGTTGGCCCAGCTCAGGCAAGGCTTAAAGTAGGCAGAGTTGCACGGGGTCACAGTCCTGGCAAAAAAGAATTAAAAGTGGAGTCGGGTCACAAAGGGGTGCACTTTTAAGTGCTGCCCTACCAACTGCATGAACATTTATTTCAGCTGGAATTATCAAAGAGCCACCCCCACCATACATTCTTTTTCCAGGTTAATCCCCCCCTCACCCTTCCAGTGTTATATATCATGGGCAATGACATTTTATATTGTGTGGTTGCAGCCCACATAACACATAGAGAACTGCATATGCGGCTCACAGTGGTAAATAGGTTGAGAACCACTGAGTTATAGACAGCTCCTCAGCTGGCAGAAGGGTTGAAGGAGAGTGGGAGGGTGAGATCCTCCCATCTTTTTCCAATCTTTGTACTGAAAATAAATTTGTCTTGTTTGTGTGTCAGTGTGTGAAATCTAAAGTGTATATTCATGATATAATTGCATCAGAGTCCAATAACACTGTTACGATAAAGGATCTGTCAATTATTTCATCATAAACTTGATGTTCTGAGATGGAATGTTACAGCTAATACAACTGGTGTGAACTGGAATATTGCACTGCACTCCCTAATAACAATTTGAGTGTTGGAAACTGGGGAGGGGAGAGTAGTTGGCTTTGCTTTCATAAGCCCTGATCCTGCAAACACTGATGCATGTGCTTAACTTTAAACATGTGCACAAATGGTTGGAGGAATGGGACTCGAAATCATCAGTTGAATGAATTCCTTATTAGAAGATAATTCTGTGAGAGAACAATACCATTGCCCTACTGTTATGATTCTTTCCATATCGCATTACCTTGGTTCAGCCTTCCATAGAATCATTCCCAGCATTTATTTCACCTACTTTTAAACTGAATGCACCATATAAATGGTTAATCTAAAAACGGTTAAAGTGTATTAGATTTAATTTTACAAGAACAGAGTATTGAGGGTTGTCATCTACAATTTAAATGTTCATTCATGAGAAGGTGTCTACAGGGCTGCCTCAGAGAACACATATTTTTGATTAATGGCATTAAAGTTGCACTGAAGGAATGGCTTCTTAGTGTGTCTTGTAAATTCTTGGCTTCTTGTAGGAAGGTTCGGTGCTCTAGTTGTGAACAAGCAAAATGATTCATTTGGAGCAAATAGAAAGCCTTCCTATACATATGGGTAACATCAACACAGTTTGGGTCTAAGTCAAGTAAATGAAGTCAAAAACAATAAAGTGAAGCCAAAATAGGTGCTTTGGGAAGGGCAAGTGAAATCAAACCATAAGGGAAATCAAACCCACGAACCCATAAAGTATTACAAATTCCTGACATCACTTCCCAACTGCATGGTAAAATTTAGCTGGGAATTAACTTCTTTATTTGGCACAAATCTGAATCGCTAGAAGTCACTCCTGCTCCCATCCCACACCCAGAAATCTGTGTTACAGCGATACCAAAGTTGTTCAAGCCAAGAACTTCAGCTTTGTGCTTGAGCGGTTGTGTTGTGCAAAGGGTTAGTTCACCGTAAATAATTGCCTCCTCAGCCACCAGGCAGTCATGTCTATAGATTTTTCCCTTTCCTGCAGCACTTGAATGTTGGCCTGTGTAATTAAGGGCACTGATTTAACACTGCATTGATGTAATCATCCACTGGAATAGATGGAGTTTTCTCTTAATAATGAATTGTGATTATTATTCCATTATTATTACTTATGAGGTGATGTCTTGAGTTTTACTTTGGGAGCAAATTATTATGGATTAATGATAAACACCTAACAGTCAGTTTTTGATGTCCTCACTTCCTCAGTATTAACTAGAGTGCTGCTAAAATCAGGGATATTTGCATGCTTAGAAGTAGTGTAGAATTAGGTCTTATATTGTCTCTTTAGTACTCTCACAGTCTTGGAGTTGTTTACACAACACGTCTTTCTGCTGGGTTTCTCTGGATACTGTCCATTTCCAGGTTTCGCAGTGAGCATTTAGTGGGGTACCATGTGTTCTGGCGTGCCTGGTCTGATGGATATTAAGATTTCACCTTAGCGGCAACATGTTTTCTCACCGTGATCTAATTTGGGGCCTTTTGCTCTTGCATCATCAGGGGTTAGTGACAGTGGCAATTCAAAGAGAAGCACTGATTCTCCCTAGGTAAAGCTGTTCTCATCGCCTTTCTTTTTGAGTGCAAACCCATAAGCATAGAAGTGTGTGAGGAAAGGGTTAAAAGATGAAATATGGGAGAACCTTGGAGGAAAAAAATTTTTTATTTGAAGTTTAAAACATTCCTGTATCTCTTCAGATTGTCAACGTGTCACGGCTAGTGGGTGCTGATAACCCTGTAGAACTGATCTATTTTGTGGAAGATCAAACTGGAGAGAGGCTCAGCGCTGTAAAGTCTTCAGATCTGATTAACAGAGTTGACATCCAGAGAGCCGCTATCATTCTTGGATACCGCATTCAAGGCGCAGTTGCACAACGTAAGTCCCACCAACTCTGCATCACTGTACCACTGAAAAGAAAGGAGAAACATGACCCTAGTTATGGAAATCTGGAGACTTGCCCAAAGCAAACTGTAATACGTATTATATCATGTCTGTAATGCATTAGAACTGTCTGTGCGATGCCTGTTCTGTGTCCACCAGCCAGAAACGGGACTTTTGAGGCCCTTTGTGCTGCTCCAGCCCCTTTAAGCACCGTGAAGGAGCTGGAGCAGGGGTGAGGCTCTCACCCGTGAATTTACAAAAAATGTAGGGTAATGGGGAAAAAGTATACTTGTGGGATGGAATATTCCATCTATGTGAAATATGCAAGTCTACACAATTTAAATATTACTCTTTTTACAACTCCCTACCCCCCAAAAAAGCAAAAAAAGAAAGCCACTTTTTCCTTGTGAGTGAAAGATGCAGTTACTGTGGGGAAGGGGTTGTTTGGATCATAACAGCTGGGAGGCATAACTTGTGGCTTCTTTTCCTTGATTGAATGTCATAGATCTCATCTTTATTTACTGATCTATTAGTGATGTGTCTGTAGTTTGATCTTGTCATTACCTGTTAATAAGATTTCATTAACTAGATGTGCATGAACATTAGTATAGGAGATCCCTAGCATGCCAACTCAATGAGAGTTGTGAGGCGGGAATGTGAAATGGAAAATATTTACAGCCAAATGAAGCTAAGGTGCCATATAAGAATTACTCTAAACTGTGCACCCTGGTGTGGGGGGAAGGTTTAAAATCTATAACATTTGTAATATAAACAATATAATATCTCTGACTAGATTTAAATCCATAATTAACTTCATTTATTTTCAGTGTAGGCAACACATAGAAACATAGGACACAGGACTGGAAGAGGTCTCCTGGATCATGCAGTCCAGTCACCTCCTATCTCAAGCAACCACGTCTCATAATCCAGTTCATAAATTTAGCAAACTCCATTTAAAACTAGTTAGGTTGTTTGCCCTGAGTACTCCTACTGGAACACAAGACTTTGCTGTATGTAGATGAGAAGTGAGTGACAGGAAAGCACAAAGTCTTTTTGCTTTGGTAGCAATAGCTAGAATAGTCAGATATAATACAGCATATGTCTGATCTACAAAGTCACTTGCAGAAAGATTTTTATGGAAAAAATGTATATGCCCAGTGAGGTAGTTATTATGAAAATATTAATGATTGGTTCATGCATGATTTTAAAATATTATTTTCCCTCTAGTTTAGTAGTTTAGGTAGCTCAGTTACCTTTTAAGCTTATGCTCTATATTTACTAATGTAGTGTAATATTTGTTTGGGAAATATTCACGAAGTTGTAAGGATAAACCAGTATTGGGATGTTATTTAAGAACATAAGAACGGCCATACGGGGTCAAACCAAAGGTCCGTCTAGCCCCGTATGCTGTCTTCTGACAGTGGCCAATGCCAGGTGCCCCAGAGGGAATGAAGAGAACAGGTAATCATCAAGTGATCCATTCCCTGTCACCCATTCCCAGTTTCTGGCAAAGAGACTAGGGATACCATCCCTGTCCATCCTGGCTAATAACCATTGATGGACCTATCCTCTGTGAACTTATCTAGTTCTTTTTTTAACCCTGTTATAGTCTTGGCCTTCACAACATCTTCTGGCAAGGAGTTCTACAGATTGACTGTGTGTTATGTGAAAAAATACTTTCTTTTGTTTCTTTTAAACCTGCTGCCTATTCATTTCATTTGATGCCCCCAAGCTCTTGTGTTATGAGACGGAGTAAATAACACTTCGTTATTTACTTTCTCCACATCGGTCATGATTTTATAGACCTCTATCATATCCCCCCCTTAGTAGTCTCTCTTACAAGCTGAAAAGTCCCAGTTTTATTAATCTCTCCTCATATGGAAGCCGTTCCACAGCCCTCATCATTTTTGTTGCCATTTTCTGAACCTTTTCCAATTCTAATATATGTTTTTTGAGATGAGGCAACCACATCTGCACGCAGTATTCAAGATGTGGGCGTACCATGGATTTATATAGAGGCAATATGATATGTTCTATCCTATTATCTATTCCTTTCTTAATTATTCTCAACATTTGGTTCACTTTTTTGACTGCTGCTGTACATTGAGTGGATGTTTTTAAAGAACTATCCACAAGGACTCCAAGATCTCTTCCTTGAGTGGTAACTGCTAATTTAGACCCCATCGTTTTATATGTATAGTTGGGATTATGTTTTCCAATGTGCATTACTTTGCATTTATCAACATTGTATTTAATCTGCCATTTTCTTGCCCAGTCAGCCAGTTTTGTGAGATCCTTTTGTAGCTCTTCTCTGTCTGCTTGGGATTTAACTATCTTGAGTAGTTTTGTATCATCTGCAAATTTGCCCACCTCTCTGTTTACCTTTTTTTCCAGATCATTTATGAATATGTTGAATAGGACTGGGCCCTGTACAGACCACTGGGGAACACCATTACTTACTCTCTCCAGTCTGAAAACTGACCATTTATTCCTACCCTTTGTTTCCTATCTTTTAACCAGTTACCGATCCATGAGAGGATCTTTCCTCTTATCCCATGGCAGCTTACTTTGCTTAAGAGCCTTTGGTGAGGGACCTTGTCAAAGGCTTTCTGAAAGTCTGAGTACACTATATCTACTGGATCCCCCTTGTCTGTATGCTTGTTGCCCCCCTCAAAGAATTCTAGTAGATTGGCGAACCATGATTTTCGTTTACAAAAAACATGTTGACTCTTCCCCAATAAATTTGTTCTTTACTATAGTTCCAACCAGTTTGCCCAGTACTGAAGTCAGGTTTACTGGCCTGTAATTGCCAGGATTCTGGAGCCCTTTTTAAAAATTGGTGTCACATTAGCTATCGTCCAGTCATTTGGTACAGAAGCAGTTTTAAACAATCGGTTACAAACTACAGTTAGTAGTTCTGGAATTTCACATATGAGTTCCTTCAGAACTCTTGGATGAATACCATCTGGTCCTGGTGACTTATTACTGTTTATCAGTTTGTTCCAAAACTTGCTCTGTCACCTCAATCTGGGACAGTTCCTCAGATTTGTCACCTAAAAAAGAATGGCTTAGGTTTGGGAAACTCCCTCACATCCTCAACAGTGAAGACCGATGCAAAGAATTAATTAATGTAGTTCCTCTGCAATGGCCTTATCGTCCTGAGTGAGTCCTTTAGCATCTCAGTCATCCAGTGGCCCCACTGGTTGTTTAGCAGGCTTCCTGCTTCTGATGTACTTAAAAAAAAATTGCTATTACTTTTTGATTCTTTGGCTAGGCTGTTCTTCAAATTCTTTTTTGGCTTTTATGCTCCTTTCTATTTTCCTCACTAGCATTTAACTTCCACTTTTTAAAGCATGCCTTTTTGTCTCTCACTGCTTCTTTTACTTTGTTTTTTAGCCATGGGGGCATTTTTTTGATTTTCTTACTATGTTTTCTAATTTGGGGTATACATTTAAGTTGAGCCTCTATTATGGTGTCTTTAAAAAGCTTCTATGCAGCTTGCAGGGATTTCACTTTTGACACTGTACCTTTTAATTTATGCTTCACTATCTTCCTCATTTTTGTGTAGTCCCCATTTCTGAAGTAAAATGCGACGGTGTTGGGCTGCTATGGTGTTTTCCCGCTACAGGGAAGATGCTAATGGCTGTGTACATCCAAGTGTGTTTTTAAGTTTGTTCTCTTTTATTATTTTAATGAAATTTCATTTCCAAATAATTAATTTTAAAAAGTTTGAAGATCATAAATCACAAATAAAAAGCATATATGTTATTTTTATGTGTTTGTCTCTCCTGTTGCTGTCAAAAGCCCACAGAAACCAAAGGAAAACTTAATAAATTGATAAAAACAGTGAAACCGACTATACTCCAAGTGGTATCAAATGTGCAAAGTAAACAAAAGGGAAAAAATCTGATAATTATTTTCCTCTAATCTCTTCCAGTTGTACCAACTAGAGTTACTTGTAAGAATAATACACAAAAATAAATTCACACAGAAATATTAATTTTAGTTTGAAAGTGCCCCTTTAACAATTACAATTCTGACTGAAAATGTTTTACCTGCTATTGTTTCAAGTAGCATCTATAATTACTGTAAATGAAATTGACTAGAATTAATTTTCTCTATTTCCAGTTTGTTTACTTTGTGCATAGTCAGTTTCCTTGTGTCCCCTTGTATAATTAGTTTCCTCCTTTGTTAGTAGGGATTTGCACATAATAACGGGAAAGAAAAACATTTAGTAAATAAACTGGGAAAATATGATTGCAGAACTCAGGGCTAGGTGTAATACTGTACGTGAAAATACTGTTTAACCTGTTTTTTGTAGGTGACTGGATTTCAAATTGACTGTGTCCCTTTTACAAAGTCAGTGTACAAGCAAGAATGCTAAAAGTTCTCCCACACTGTTCCATGTCAACTCAATTTATGGCTCCTCCTGAACAGAGAGGACTAATCATGTCAAAGGCTGTGATGGAAACCCATTTTCACTTGCAACTTAAGCACAGGTCTCCAGAATTGAAAGTAGGCTTTAAGACAATTGATCATTTGCTCCACACTTGTGTTTCCTGGCCAAGATGTACATTAAGTAATACGTTTATCACCTTGCCTATACGGCAGTCTGTTTCCTATAAATGTAGCTCTTTGCTAACAATTATGAGAGTGTAGAAATGAATATCCCCTGAAGTGTCAACAGATAAAAAAAAAATATAACTGTATAAAATTCTTGTCTCCCCACTACCCCCTTCTAACTCCGCAGCTGTGGATAAAGTGAAAGAGTCATCGTCCGAGTCTCAGAATAACAATCTGTGGATTATTGTTGGTGTGGCAGTCCCAGTGGCTGTGGTGCTACTTATCATTATTATTTTATACTGGAAGCTCTGCCGAACAGACAAGTTGGAGTTTCAGCCAGACACCGTGAGCAATATCCAGCAGCGACAGAAGGTAAAAGGGGATGGGAAGATGTGTTGGGAATAGTTAAGGTAACCTGAGCACTTGTGAATGCAACAGTCTAGGAAATATATGGTGTCGTTAGAGGAGAAGGTGAGACGCACCATGGCAGAGGCTTCCTGCAATCTGGAAAAAAAAAGTGGAACTGCTATGAATTACACAATAATATAAATCCCAAAAACTCAGTGGTTCCCATTGCTTTTCCTTTGCTTTTCCTTTGCTTTCCTTCTAATGCTGTGTCACACCCCTAGGATCTGTCTTCCCGTTGGGGGAAACCTAGGTGACGAGGTTGAAAGAAACTTGCCTGCATCATTTTAATCCATCTTCTTACCTTTATTCCTTGTGAGAAAGATGCTGTATTATTCCTTCTAGATGCAAGAAATTCTCTAACTTTGTCTGGATCATCTCTGTGTCTTTTGAATACCTCATAAGCCAAACTGTTCCACTGCCCAATTGTCCCATTAATTCCTGGAAGTCAAGACTTATCTTAAGGCTCCTTCAACATAGGCTATTACAAATTTACTAAGTGTTTTGCAAGTATATTGCAAAAAGCATGTATTTTGTCCTCTTAACTTTCTAACTTGCCTTTACAAGTGGATTTAGCTTCCGGAAATGGCAGCTAAAACCTTTTATCCCTCCCACCAATCATGTACAATTTGTCTTATCACAAATAACATAGTACATGCATATAATGAAATCTTATAACCTGGGCTGTGTAATGGGTCTGTTCTTGGACATTTTCGTTGCTGTGCAGTTCTGTATGGCTGTGTGTGTGTATGTATACAGAGATATGTGTGTGTGCTCTACTGAGTGGAATATATCAGACTTTGGTCATTTCAGTTCTCTGTGCTGACAGAACTCTTCCTTTAACTTCCTGGAGAGAGAATCTTTTGTTTTTTGGAGCTGATATACTGAGCTCACTCAATATTGATAGAAATATGCAGTTGGTTATCAACTTAAAGCTCTGTCTACATTGCAACCAGAGGTTTAATGTGTAGCTTTTGTAGATGTACCTGCACTATCTTTAATCTAGCTAGTTAACTACAAATAACAGTGATGCCCTGGTGCTACACGCTTCAGTGCAGGCTGTATAATCCCACCTGGTCCCCCGGGTAGATGCAGGCATTGGTAGGCATGATGTAGCCTGTGCTGCAGTGTTCTCATCGCTATTTTTAGTGAACTACCTAAATTAAAGATAGCATGGGTGTGTCTACATGAGCTGAAGATTACACCCCTACTTGCAGCATAGATGTAGCCTGAGTATTCAGCCACAAATTTTTATGTGGTATGTGCAACATTTCCCTCCACAAGTTTATGTGGGGCAAGGCATTGTCTGGCCTTGCTGTGTTTCCCAGAAGTGGGGAAAGGTTTGGAAATGTAAAAAAACAAACAAGCAAAAACCCCCACCCAAAACAACCACTTTGCTTTGACTCAGTACTGATTCACAGGGAAGCGTGCTGCCTGGTGAATCACAAACCTCACTTTCTCTGGAAGCCCAAAGTGGTTTTTGGAGGTATTCCACCCAAGCATTAAGCAAAGCAAACCATATGTCAACCCCAGTCCTGCACTGGGATCTGCTAGAGCAAACCCTTGCATCTGTGTGCAGGTCTCAACATGGGCTCTGGGGTCCCTGCTTAGTAGGTCCTGATGCAGGCCTGGGGCTTGAGATTGAACAAGATCAGAGCTTCGGGTATTATAGCTAAAGTCATGGAGGGCTAGGCCATGGATGGCTCACCAAAGGCTCTTACGTAAATTAAGTTGTCATGGGTAAGAGGGAAGATCCTTTCATGGATTGAGAACTGGTTAAAAGACAGGGAACAAAGGGTAGGAATAAATGGTAATTTTTCAGAATGGAGGCGGTAACTAGTGGTGTTCCCCAAGGGTCAGTCCTAGGACCAATCCTATTCAACTTATCCATAAATGATCTGGAGAAAGGGGTAAACAGCAAGGTGGCAAAGTTTGCAGATGGTACTAAACTGCTCAAGATAGTTAAGAGCAAAGCAGACTGTGAAGAACTTCAGAAAGATCTCACAAAACTAAGTGATTGGGCAACAAAATGGCAAATGAAATTTCACGTGCATAAATGTAAAGCAATGCACATTGGAAAAAAATAGCCCCAACTATACATATATTATGATGTGGGTTAATTTAACTACAACTAATCAGGAGAAAGATCTTGGAGTCATTGTGGATAGTTCTCTGAAGACGTCCACATACTGTGCAGTGGCGGTCAAAAAAGCAAATGGGATGTTCGGAATCATTAAAAAAGGGATAGAGAATAAGATGGAGAATATCTTATTGCCCTTTTATAAAGCCATGGTACAACCACATCTTGAATCCTGTGTACAGATGTGGTCCCCTCATCTCAGAAAAGGGCAACTAAAATGATTTGAGGTTTGGAACGGGTCCCATATGGGGAGAGATTAAAGAGGCTAGGACTTTTCAGCTTGGAAAAGAGGAGACTAAGAGGGGATATGATAGAGGTATATAAAATCATGAGTGGTGTGGAGAAAGTGAATAAGGAAAAGTTATGTTCCCATAATATAAGAACTAGGGGCCACCAAATGAAATTAATGGGTAGCAGGTTTAAAACAAATAAAAGGAAGTTCTTCTTCACTCAGCGCACAGTCAACCTGTGGAACTCCTTGCCTGAGGAGGTTGTGAAGGCTAGGACTATAACAGGGTTTAAAAGAGAACTGGATAAATTCATGGAGGTTACGTCCATTAATGGCTATTAGCCAGGATGGGTAAGGAATGGTGTCCCTAGCCTCTGTTCGTCAGAGGGTGGAGATGGATGGCAGGAGAGAGATCACTAGATCATTACCTGTTAGGTTCACTCCCTCTGGGGCACCTGGCATTGGCCACTGTCGGTAGACAGAATACTGGGCTGGAAGGTCCTGGGTGGTGAAACACTGGAATGCGTTACCTAGGGAGGTGGTAGAATCTCCTTCCTTAGAGGTTTTTAAGGTCAGGCTTGACAAAGCCCTGGCTGGGATGATTTAACTGGGAATTGGTCCTGCTTCGAGCAGGGGGTTGGACTAGATGACCTTCTGGGGTCCCTTCCAACCCTGATATTCTATGATTCTATGATGATTCTTTAATGTGCACCGAGGCTGATAGCTGGGACCAGGGGCACTTGAACAATTTGTATAGTGGGGGTGCTGAGAGCCATTGAAGCAAACTTTAAACCCTGGATATGATGGAACCCATTTCAAGCCAAGGGCTGCAGCAACACCCCGAGCACCCCTAGCTCCAGCACCTACAGCTGGACGAGTATTCCTTATGCCCCCTGCTTTGCCAGGAATCTGACTGTGTCTGTATATATCTGCAAAGAGTACTTTTTCAAGCAGGGACACCTATTAAGTCAAAGCGCACTGGGGAACTTTACACAAAGTAAAACTATTTCCCCCTGTTTATTTCCCCCCCCCCACACACACACACACACTGTTTCTCACACGTTCTTGTCAACTGCTGGAAATGGCCCACCTTGATTATCACTACAAAAGGGTTTGGGTTTTTTTTCTCTCCTGCTGGTAATAGCTCACCTTACCTGATCACTCTGGTTACAGTGTGTATGGTAACACCCATTGTTTCATGTTCTTGTGTATATAAAATCTCCCCACTGTATTTTCCACTGCATGCATCCGATGAAGTGAGCTGTAGCTCACGAAAGCTTATGCTCAAATAAATTTGTTAGTTTCTAAGGTGCCACAAGTACTCCTTTTCTTTTTGGGGAACTTTAGTGTGCAGTGGCAGGGTCCACATGGACATTTAGTGGCAGGCACACTGGAGCACTGTAGATTTAAACCCCAGCTTACCACGCACTAACGGTTCATCTGGACAGGCCCTGACAAGGCGGCAGATCAGATGATTGGTAGATATACATATTTCATAGTTGTGGGCTGGTCCAGGTATGAGTTCTATTTTTGAATTATTGTGTATTGAGTCATAGAGCTTTATCACGGGCAATTTTAGTATGTTTAAATATAAAAGATAAACTTTCTACTTCTATGAACTCAGGGCTGCCTTTGTTTATTGGGCTCAATAACACCTCACCAGCAAGACGAAAAAGCAAGAAAATAAAAAATTTTAAAATGGAACTTCTCCTTTACACTCTCTCAAAGGGTCTTCAGCACATTTTCATATTGCTTGTAGAGACTATCGGCACTTCAGGGATGTAATGAAATGTGCTGTGTTCTGCCCCCAGTGCCCACATTATAAAAAGTTTTTTGTTTTGTTTTGTACAGTGTGGAAATGGCAATAAAAAGTGAAAAAATCTGTTCCATCTGAAAACTTTCAACCTGCTCTACTTGTGTCTTCTGTGAGGGGGGCAATATTCATGAGTGTTGCTGACTGATGGTTGCCTGTGAAATTGTTCTATAACTTAGGCAATTGCTGCTGTTTTGTAGATGCTGTTGCAGCTGCTATGGGTTTTCCAAGTCTCTTTTTTCCACTTTGAGATATTGCAGGAGCTTATCCATGCTCAGTATCAAGCCTCACTCATAATTAATGCCTTCAATGGAAGAAAAATACAGTTGTTCTTGGTTTTTGTGAAGTTTACTGAGGTTCACGTTAAAACTGGAGAGGAAATACAGAAAGATTGGGGAGGGTGACATGAATCACTGAAAAGAAGCTTTCATAAAGAAGGTGCTTCGGAATGGATGTCTGCGAGTTTCAAGGATAATAAAAACCTTGAGGTACAGCCCTGAAGTGGAGCTTTTTGAGAGATTCCCCCTTCAGTAAGTTTTTGCACAGTATGGATTTAGGGTGGCCAGATACCCCGATATTCGGGGCTTTGTCTTATATAGGCGCCTATGTGAATTAGACATTCCAGGGTCAAATTTTTCAAAGGGAGCTAATTATGTGCCTGTGGTAAATTGCAGATGATACAATTTAGACTTCTAATTACCTGATTTGTAGACACAACCAAGATGTTAAACATTTACATTCTATTATTTGTGTGTGCAGTTGATTGTACCCATCAGGACTTTTTG